TTTTTCGGTCACTTCCGGTTTAACCGGAAATGACTACAACTTTTGATTTTTAAATGGCACCCCGGGATTTTTTTTTACTTTATTCGATAGAAAATGTCACTCTGAATAGAATGACATATCATATGTCAACTTTTGACATTTACGCATATGTTTTTTTTGAAATTATAACTTGCGGTTCGTAACGAAAATTTTACTTGAAATACCAAATGCGTGGTTTCAAATTATTCGTAAAAAAATGCTTTTTCCAAATATGCTAATGAGTCACCCTCGTTCCATTTGAAAAAATTGAGATATTTTTAAAAATACGATTTTAGCATTTTCTAACTGGCCAGGACAAGACACTAAAAACATTAGACCATCAAATCTATTTTTCCAAGGCTCCTTGATGAAGAATTTCTGTTTTTAACATAGCCATCGCACTCTAGATTGAATTTTAAAATACAATTTTTTATTAAGCGAGAATGTCAAAAGTTGACATATGATATGACATTCTATTCAGAATGTCATTTTCTATCGAATAAAGTAAAAATATACCAAGGGTGCTATTTAAAAATCAAAAGTTGTCATTTCCGGTGAAACAGGAAGTGACCAAAAACATTTGAATACACCAATGAATCCTAATTTATGTCATATACTAACATACCAAATCTCGTTTTTTTATCTGAAAAAATAAAAAAGTTATAGGGGATGAGCCACTTTTGAGATGCACCCGGTATTATCCATATTATATAATACTTTTAAATTACGTTTTGTCTATCCTGGTATAAAAAACAAATAATTTGAAAATTATTATTTCTAAAAATACTAGACTAAATCAAGAAGAAAATGTAATTAATTACATAAAAAAGTAAATTAAACGAGTTTGAGTTATATATGAAAAAATTTAACAAAAAAATACTTCATACCTATTGTACGGTTCGACTATAGAACCATTTTTATTTTGTGAATATGTTTCTATATTTCTAAAAAAATCATTATTTTGTGGGTGAATATTATAGGTGATTTTTAATCTTTATTAATAAACACCCATTTAAGTTACCAGTTAGCTGCTAATTAGTTTTAATGTTTAAGAAAACAAAATTATTAAATAAAAACTGAAATGTTATTACAGACAAATAAACTGACAGCACAATAGTGTTATAATATGACTCAGATCTAAATAAATATTAAATAATAGTTGTGTATTTTATAAATTAAGACTCTTAATTATTTACCACCTAGACGCGACAAATTAAGTAAAAAAAAAAGTTGTACGTTGTGTTAATGTTAGATTAAATTTTAGTAAAGCCAAAATCGTTATCGCGTGTCATCTAGAAAAGTGATTTTCATTAATAATGTCAAAATCTCTATTGATGTCAATGTCAATTTTATAAGAAAATGTTTTGAACCTTTGTTTTCAACTTGTTAACGGTTTAAGAACTTTTGAAACATTAATGCTTAGTTGTTCACATATCAAGAGACGAACTTAGTAGCACGAGACATCTTAAAGACAGCTTACATTCAAAATGAAATATGTAGAAAACGAGAATTTTTGGACATTGAACATCATGAATAATTGGATTTCTAAAGGTACTTTTTTAAATTACTTTTTACACTGATTTTAACACTGAAAATATATTATAATAATACAATTTTAAATAATTACTTTCATGTCTCAAATACACAAATCCTCTACAGTACCCACATTTCGCTAACCATGGTATCAAGATCATTAAATGATTAAAACTAATGTTTTGACTGTTGTTAATTAGGAGTGAGCTAAAAATGTACAATACACTAAAATACAATGTTTTGGTGTAAGGTGTTCGAGGATTAGCGTAAATTTTCTTTTCTAATAAATCAATCAAAAGTATATTAAAATAAAAGAAACAGATATGGAGTGTTACTTATATAAAACATTTCGAAATTTTGATGGATATAATGCAACTCCCAGTGAATGACATACCAAGAATTTACAACTTTGAGAAACACCTCACTGTAGTATTAAGTAATAAAAAGGACTGGAAGGAAAGAAACGTTTACTCAGCATGTAAAAGACCATACCATAACGTGGTATACTGATGCTTCTAAAACCAAACAGGGACAGGGATAAGAGTATTTAGACCGAAAACAATACTCCGAACCAATGGGCCATGCCATTGCCATCCTATCCGATCAAGCAGCATTAAACGCGATCAACTCAGTAACCATCAATTCGAAGTTGGTCAAAGAATGCCTAGAAAAGCTCAACAAATTAGGCAAAGAAAATAAAGTCTTCCTACTCTAGGTACCTGCTCACCAAGAAATAGAAGGCAATGAAAAAGCAAATGATCTAGCTAGAAAAGGAGCGAACACTCTACTAACTAGACCGGAACCGTACTGTTTTCCAAGCGGGAACCAACTGAAAGCGGAACTGAAGAATCTGGAAGACTCCATCCGTAACCCGGAATAGGTGTCCTCCAGTCCTTCAACAGTCTAAGGCACTCGAAAAAGTTCCACTTACGACCGAGAAAAATCAAAGGTTTTCCTTGATTTAAGTAAAAACAATCTTCGGATTGTCACGGGGTTTCTAACAGGACACTGTGTCCTCAACGAACACCTCAGTAGGCTGAAGCTAAGAAACAACGGCGAATGCAGATTCTGTGGGGAAAATGGGGCAAACACCAGAACACCTTATCATTGAGTGCGCCGAGACGACGACCATTCGTGCCATGAACTTTGGTATGGCTGATGTCGAGGACGGAGAGCTGACCTCTGTGGAGCCGTCTCAGATACTGGCTTTTGTTAAAGCTCTGAGACTGTATGATGAGTTATAATTCGTTATAACTCAAGAAAGGGGAGCACACAATAGATCTGTAAGGTCGCGGTGATTAACTCTCCTCCTAAACATTCTACATCCTATATACTGAACATTGTAAGAAAACTCTATTCGAATTTCGTTGGCTATTTATTTATTCCATTAAAATAATTAGTTTGGTTTGGAAAACACAGCACTCAGATTGACATCCAACGATGCTTCTCCGTTGCATGCAACGTCTGCTGAATGCCTATTTTTATCTAAGAAATAATATATTTATTATATTCCATTGTTAGCTAAATGCACGTTAACTAAACACGTGACCTTATCCCCTCTCGGGGTTATTAAAAATCCATATTATTTTCTCATCACTACAGTAATAATCCGAAACACAGGAAACCGTTATCGATCTGTATATGGGCGATTCCATTCTAAGTGTTAATTTTTATGTCTTTTATTATTTGATGTCACTGGTTGTTGTAGATTGTATAGGAGGAGGGAACTTAATCACCTCGACTTTATAGACCTATTGTGTCCCTTTTGAGTTCTAACTCATCAGTCTCAGGGCTTTGACTAGGCCAGTATCTGTAGCGGTACTGGCTTATGGAATTTATGTTTGGGCTGACGCCATCAGAATACAAGAAAAACGGAGAAGAGGCCATTTCTTTATCGAGGAAAAGGATCGTCAGCACTAAGCTCTGATGCACTCAGAAGAGAATAGCGGCAGCATAGCATACGCCGATGGCAGGTACATTGTGAGGCCGCAACAAAGGGTAGTTGGACGTACCGTCTTTTACCTCAGTTGAATGTTTCGCTGAATCGAAAACATGGTGAGGTCAACTACTACCTGACACAGATGATCTCAGGACATAGTTGCTTCCGTGCATATCTTCATCGTTTTAAGCTCGATGATTCCCCGGAGTGCCCCTCCTGTCCAGGAGTTCCTGAAGACGCGGAGCACGTGTTCTTTGTGTGCCCACGTTTCTACTAAATGCGTAGTTAGCTGGAGATTGTCCTCTAACAGGCAATTCAACCAGAGACACTAATTGATGCGATTCTTTCTTTGGAGGCATCCTGGAACGCGACCAATACTTTCACAACGAAAGTGCTTCAACACCTGCGTTCTATAGAGAGAAAACGAGCCAGCAACAAGAACGGTTAGAGGAAGAGAAGATTGACTTCAATTAATGGAAGGAAGAGCAATTGCTAGATCCTCTCCCTGCGAAGTAATGCCTAACGACGGTTTCAGCGGCGACTGCAGAGGCCGGAGAAAGAGGAGGTTTTTAGTCGGTATTGAAACCTGAGTCCGACATATGTACCAGGCCAATCATCTGGCTCTGAGATACGCAAATGTATTTTCCTACCTCTATAAAAAAAACAGTATATGAAACGGTTTTAGAGTGGTTAGTGTTAGTTTTCAATTTCCGATATCAGTCGTACGGCGTTTATGGCATGAATGGCTGTCATCTCGGGGCACTCGGTGATGAAGTGTTCTGGTGTTTCCTCATTTTCCTCATAGAATCGCCGCATACATTCGCCGTTGTTTTTTAGCTTCAATCTACTGAGGTGTTCATTGAGGAGACAGTGTCCTGTTAAAAATCTCGTGACAATCCGAAGATTCTTCTTATTTAGCCATACCTAGCCTTGAGAAATGTCTTCTAGTGCCTTAGACCGTTGGGGGATTCCCATTCCAGGTTACGGATGGAGTCTTCCAGGTTCTTGAGTTCCGCTTTTAGCTGGTTTCCACTTGGGAAGCAGAACGGTTCTGGTGCAGATAGTGGAGCGTTCTCTCTTTTTCTAAAGCTTTTGCTCTTTCATTAACTTCTCTCCCTTGTTGAGCTGGTACCCAGAGTAGAAGCACTTTATTTTCTTTGCCCAGTATGTTCAGCTTCTCTAGGCATTCTACGACACTTCGAATTGATGGTTACTGATTTGATCGCTTTTAAGCCTGCTTGAACGATATTGTAGAACTAACCTCAATAAAACCGTCTCAGATACTTGCTTTGTTCAAAGCCCTGACACTATAACTCAAGAAAGGGGGACACTATAGATCTTTAAGGTCGGGGTGACTAACATCAGCATTTTTTCAGAGAATCACCCATAATTTATCATAGGCGCTGTAATTACACGAACCATTTATTATTGAAATCGCGTTATTTCGGGACCCCCGACTATGTCTCTAGTATTAAATAATTCCTATTATAGTTTTATGTTTCTTTTCCAGTGGAAAACATGGACCAATACCTTCAGTACATCGGAGGTGGCGCTGGAGCCCTGGCCCTCACAGGAGTAGCGGCAGCTTCAGCTTTTTACCTGGCGAGTCGGCCGTCTCCACAAAGACCACTTTTTCCTTTGGACGCCCAGTGTATATTGGAACCTGAAGAACATGGGGTGAGTTATTGAAATCTCTATGAATCTCTTGGTTTTAACTTTTTTTGTAGTACGTATAATACCATACGATCAAAAAAAAAACGACGTCAAGGACGGCTAGAGAATAACAGTCGGTAATAATTTTGGAGTGCTCAAACTCTAGATGTCATATACTTGGACCGTACGTTCGTTATTTTTTTAGGTCCTGTTTCTCTATTTTGTTACGAAAGCACTGACCACTTTATCCGCGTGGTCTGTATTTTAATGCATGCGACAGAGAGAAATATAAATTAACGGTTGACAGACAGAGAGACAAAATAAAAGGCGGCATACAGTGTTGCCGGTTTTTACATGTATAAGAAAATGTGCGTAGAAAAAATAAGCTATTTTTATAAACTTTCATGTATACTACCAAAATGAAAATATTATATCTTAACTTAATATAATCTATTACAGCTGTAGTAAAATTAGTAACTAATTGTGAAAAATTTTTTTCGTAAACGCCTACTTGTGCGGTTTGAAATTTAGATACAAAATCCGGCAATACCGCATTGAAGAAATGTATCAACCCAACTTTTATCTCTTTTTAATACATTTGATTTTCCATTAGGCTGTCTACATCACTGTCTTAAACGTTAAATCCACACCACACAGTTTCGATGACCAGATCGGTATATTATATTCTGCTGAAACCAACTTCCAATAATAGAATAATTAAAACCTTTGTTTCCTTATTTTAAAAACTCCAATCTAGAATTTAAAAAAAAACATAATTTTCTTCTTAATTATACAGGGTGCTACAAATTCGAGGTACGAGCATTGGTATCTCGGTCACCGTAATAGATACGAACATGGTTAAATTGGGGCAAAGTTGCGTATTGGGATGTTCACCAAGATGGTATTAAAAAAGTTTTAAAAATTTCAAGGATTGCTGAGATTTTTGAAAAAAAAAATTATTTTTTGAAAATAAATTTTATTTTTTCCTGTCGTTACTTTTTAGAAAATCAAAAAACTTATTGTACATTCTCATAGCCACTTTATTAGCGCAATCTGATAGTATTTTTAGATTTTAGAATTAGCTGATAATTTGTGGGATACAGAAGCCAACTTAATTTTTTTAAATACGGACCTGCATTTTTTATTTCAGGCTTTGAAAGAACTCGGTCTTCTCAATACAATGATATGCCACACTTTATACTTTTTTTTGTTTTGGGTACCTTAACAGCAACAAGACTATTTAATTATATTTAAAATAATATCAAGTCCGACTCTGGTTTCTTAAATTATTTAATCTGATTATATCATCGTAACAATATTGATCAGCGCTAATTAACGTTGAATAAGGAAAATCGAGCCAATTGGAAGATTCAAATAAATAATATCCAGGTCAGAAATTTAAAGATATCATTTTTAACTTTTTTTATTGTGAACTTGAAATCTCAGTGTGCGATCTAATAATATGCATAATATTAATCGTAGTTATTATAAATAAATCAACTTCTACAAACTAATTTCTAATGTTCTACATGTTCGAAAAGGTTACCACCCTCCCTATTGCACAAATTTATTTTTCGTTCAATTTTATTTATAGCTCTTTGAACTTTCTTTTTATACTTCCGAATGCATTTTGAACTCTTTATTGTAAATGTTGAGATGAATTAATTTCACTTCTACAAAATACTGACGACAAATAATGCCCCGCCTGCCCCTTGGTGACAGGTCCAGGAACCTCGCTGGACTAATGTCTACTACCTCGCTGGACTAATACTGCTCTACTATTTCCAGTCCATGTTTCGGGAAAATGATTTGATTGTTTATATTATATTATATTTGTATTAATTATATTATATTTGTATTAATTATATTATATTATTTTATTGCATTTGCTTTTCCGTATTCAATGTTTTACCCCACGTCATTGTTAAGTTTGAATGCTAATCAATATTGTAATGATGAATAGATTAAATATTTAAAAAAACAGAGCCGGACTTGAAATTAGTTTAAATAAATCGTGTTCCGATGTCAAAACAAAATAAAATTATGTGTGGCATATCATTGTACTCAGGAGACCGAGCTCTTTCAAAATCTGAAATAAAAAATGCATGTCCGTATTTAAAAAAATTAAGTTGGCCTCTGTATCTCACAAATTATCAGCTAATTTGAAAATCTAAAAATACTATCAGATAGTTCTAATGAAGTGGCTATGAGAATGTGCAATTAGTTTTTTGATTTTCTAAAAATTAACGACAGGAAAAAATATAATTGATTTTTGAAAAAATCACTTTTTTCCAAAAAACTCAGCAATCCTTGATATTTTTAAAACTTTTTCGATGGCATCTTGGTGAACATCCGAAAACGCAACTTTGCCCCAATTTAACCATCTTCGTATATATTACGGTTTCCGAGATACCAATGCTCGTACCTCGAATTTTTTGCACCCTGTATACAAGAATCTTTATTTTTTATATAAATCAGTCAGATATAATTATTTAATAGTGTAATAAACAATTTTATTTCTTTTTATACTGGTGGAATTTCAATGCATTAACAATAAAAATTTATTTAACATTAAATTAGCGAAACAGAGTAGTATTTACAGTCCAAGACGTGCATTTAAGTGCACATATACAATGTAGCAATTTAACAGCTAGCGATTAATTCGTATTGCTCACGTCAACATGTAATGTATACGAAAAACCTCAAATTAATATACAGGGTGTACTAAAGCAAAAATAAAACTTTAATATTTGTTCAATGAGTCGGTATGAGAAAAACAAAATAATATGAAGAATAGCTTTGCCTCAGAGACATTTCTCTATAGGGTCAAAACTTCATTATGTATAGCGGTCTTTGATTGTATTCTATGTCTTACAGTGTTTTGTTTTTTACGAAAGTAATCTTTGCAGTAGTATAAGAGTTGGTCACTTAAATGGAATGATGCATATGTTGCAGCTAGGGTTGCGACCTGTCCTTTATTGAAAAGCACAGTCCTTTCGTTCCAAGGACAATTTGCTCCAAAATTGCCCTTGTGATTTTTTTTCACCTAAAAAGTATTTTTTGTTTACGCATTTTCCCTGAGAAAATTACCTACAGCAACCCGTAGTTTTATTATTAATATTCCTTTCATCCAAGTTTAATTAGACATGTTATAAAACTTTTAAATAAATGTTTTTTGTTTTCAAACGTCACAAAAGTATTAATTTTTGCAACGCTATTACAATATAAAAAGTAATTTTAATGCCTAGGCATAAAAGTAAAGCATTTTTACGCCTAAGCACAAAAGTATGAAAATATAATCGTAATCTATTATTAAACTGACATAAAATGTCAAATTCAACGAGTAACTATAGGAACAAGGAACGAGTAACTATAATTTCTCGATATATAATTACTTTCAGGGTATTAAATTACTTTTAAATATTTTTATATTATTTACATGATCATAATTTTCTATTTCTACGGAAACTAAATGTGTGTGTGAGTGCGAGGTTTTATTTCAATGGGTTTACAAGAGGTCATTGAAAAATAGGTCGCAAATTTTGTAACCTATATCTTACATACGAACATTAGCTGGTATATAGATAGGCTATTAACATAGCCACCTTATCCTGACAGTCAAGCAGCGTTAAAAGCGATCAACTCAGTATCAATCAATTCGAGGCTGGTCAAAGAATGCATAGAAAGCTGAACAAATTAGGCAAATAAAACCAAGTCCTCCTACTCTGAGTGCCCGCTCACCAAGGGATAGAACGTAATGATGAGTTATAACTCAAGAAAGGAGGACACAATAAAGGTTGCAGTCATTAACTCCCCTCCCACTATATTCTCTACGTACGAACATTCTAACACAGATAATAACATAGTAAAACAGTTTTACTATGTTATCTGTGATTCTAAGTTAAACTCAAACATGTAAAATTACTAAAATTAGGTTTTCATCGGTTACCACATTACACACGACATTCATGTTTTTCATTAAGTCATCTATATTTAATATATTATAAATTTGTCGAAAATAGTGGTAAATAACCACTAAATAAACCTGCACTATATTCTCAACACTTCTACCTCAACGCAATGTCTGCAATCACTGCGACACAATAAATCCGTGCCACGTAAAACTTGACATTATTTTGTTCGAACCTAGTTGGATCTCGGCCAGATCTGCCGCTATTATCCAGAATAATACGAAGGGGAGCCGAGGAAGCAGTATCGACACTCCGTAAACGTACTATTTTGCTTGCCAAATTAAAAAATCCCCACTGATAGAGCAATTCAGTATGCTGCAAAATAGTGCGATGAAAGAAAAACACGTGTCGTTAATTTGGCAAGCTCTTAAACATTTTTTCAACGCCTTTAAATATTACGAAATCTTTGACTTTTGATTGACACTGCATATAAAATTTATGAATATGGTCTATATTGACTGGGAATTAATTGGGAATAGCCCAGAAAGGCTATAAAAGGAATAGAGTGGATACGACAAAAGACCCATGTAATAGATGTCATCCACAGAGTCAAATCCCTCAAATGGCAATGGGCAGAACATCTAGCAAGAAGAACAGACAACAGATGGACCATACAAATTACAGCATGATATCCACGAGGAATTTAGAGACCTAGAGGAAGACAGAACCTGAGATGGGACCATGATATTGCAAATTAGTAGGGATAACTTGGGCCCGCATAGCCAATAATAGACAAAAATGGGCCCAAATACAAAGAGAGTATGTGAGAGGGGCTACGCCATAATTGAAAATGGTTGAATAAGCTGAAAATGATGATGATGATGATGATGATAGTCTATGCTATTGGATGGTGATCATCATATCCACTTAGAGAGGAGTCATGTTATATGCTTTAACACTAAATCTTAAATAGCTTAAAAACGATTTATTTTAAGTATAGTAACATGTATAATCAAAAAGTAACGAATTCCGAGTAGGTTCCCATTTGAAAAAAAAATATTTGTGATAATTTTTTATCTTTCAATTCCATGACAGCTACGGCCAATATTGTAT